AGATGAGACTTTATTAACAGTTGTGCATCTGGGATTTCTTCTGAAATAAGCAAAGTACAAGATCAGTTTTAAAGAAGTGGAAGAGTGAGGAAGACTCCTGTGCCCATGATGTTGTCAGTCAAGGCCTTTCTCTCCACCTGCTCCCACCTGCAGCCTCTGTTACACTCAAGGATCTTTTGTGTTTCTTTATTTTCATTATTATTATTTTCCTCTCCTTCGTCGTCTGATTTCGTGTTCATCCTCCTCTTCCTCCTCCTCCTCCTCCTCCTCTTCCTCTGGACGACGGCTCAGCTCCACTTGTATTTCCCATCTCTCATGCTATAGCGGCTCTCTGCTCCACCACAGGCTGTAATGTGTTTCAAACATCGCAGCGATTTTTATTTTTTTCATCCATATACCGATGAGAGTCCACACACACACACACACACACACACACACACACACACACACACACACACACACACACACTGGCTCTGCTGCAGGAAAACGAAGTTGAACTTGACCTTGTGCTTCACAGACAGAGAGAGAGAGGGAGGGAGAGAGAGGAAGTTACCAGCTGCAGCTGTGCAGTCCAGTTTAGGGAGTGATAACTAGTCGAGCTAGCAGGTGAATGGTAGTTATTTTTTTTATCTAACTAATATGCATAAATAAGTCTTTACTAAATACAGAATATGGGATTTTCCTGTAACTCCTGTGATCCAGGGTTATAGATAATACGTTTTCATACACTGATGCAGCTCACTATGTGGCAAGATCAAGTTACTGTTTATTAATGAGTTACTATAAGCTTCTTTTTACCAGTTATAACTGGTAGTAGCTCATTAGTGAGATTAATGAGGAGTAAGCATTAACTTGATCTTTGCCAAATAGTGAGCCTGCATCAAAACTGTGTTCTAACTTGTTTATGATTGTTAATGATTTATAAAGTGTTAACAACCGAATTAATAACATAATTATAAACCATTTATTTACCATTTATTACTTATTGTGAAGTGGTAACATAATGTATATATATATACATAATGTATATATATATATATATATATATATATATATATATATATATATATATATATATATATATATATATATATATATATATATATATATATATATATATATATATATATATATATATATATAACACCATCATTTCAATTTCAGTTTCAATTATCGTTTGTTCAGGATCTAATTGTGTGTGTGTGTGTGTGTGTGTGTGTGTGTGGTCTGTGATGGATAAGAGGAGTTTGTAGCTGATGCAGACACAGACATCCAGTCGCTCCTGTAATGAAGTCATTTCTTTAGTGTGATTGGATTTAACAGTAATTGCCGGTCGGGGTGTCGAGGATGTCACCACGGCTACGGCAGACACTCACTTCTAATTGGCTGGCAGCTGTCCATTAAAATCATATCAGCATTATATCTCGGACATGATGCTGGTCGACAGCATCGCCGTGCTGTTGTGTGTACGAGGGACGTGGTGTCCTTATCGTTGCTCTCACAGCGCGGCGCATGGAAGAGGGAAACATCGGTGCTTTCAGCGCCTGAGTGCAAACAGTCACAAAGACGCAGATGCAGAGTTATACCTCACAGCTTCATCAGAGTATTTAGCCTTTAACTGTGGAGGACTTCTGTTAGATGGTATCATATATAGATATGCACATGCACCTGATGCATGGAAGGAGTTCAGAGTTAACACAGCGACACTGTTGTGATAAGTCCAAGTCATCCACAGCTGAGTCTTAATAAAGTCACAGGGTGGGAGGAGGGAACTTTATATAGCTAGCACACTGCCAAGCATGAAGGACTGCATTAACTGACACACTCACTGACAGCGCCAATGGCCTTCACACACACTCAGACACACACACACACACACACACACACACACACACACACACACAAGCACACACACATAAAACACCCAACACACTTGTCTCTCTCTCAATCAATGACTCTCTCTCTTACACTGTCAAACACACAGTAGCCACGGACACTCAACGCTCTCCGTATGTCTCTATGACTCACACACACACACACACACACACACACACACACACACACACACACACACACACACACACACACCCACCCCTGACTGTGGGGTCAATAAATCTCCCCATTAGCATTGAGATGTCTTCATCATAGTCAGTGTTGTGGAGCTGCTGCTACGACTCCATTTCATGCCTGGCTTAATGCATATTTGACCTTGGTGAGTTTAAGACACACACACACACACACACACACACACACACACACACACACACACACAAGCATGCACATACACACATACACACACACTTGTATTGGCGCAGGAACACACACACATGTATATATGATCTGAAGGCAGGTTTTAGCATCCCAGCAACAAAGGAGATGCTTGTGTGTTTGTGTGTGTGTGTGTGTGTGTGTGTGTGTGTGTGTGTGTGTGTGTGTGTGTGTGTGTGTGTGTGTGTGTGTGTGTGTGTGTATTTCTGCATGCGTTCTGTGTGTTCTTGTTCTGGAAGCTACATATTTATTTTTCTGTGTTCGCTGCAGTGGCAGTGAAACAGTCAGTGTGCTGCAACTAAATACAGATGCAGTCCAAACACATTAATTATATCTGGGCAGAGCGGAGAAGAAAGAAAGAAAGAAAGAAAGAAGGGAGGGAGGGAGGGAGGGAGGGAGCTAGAAAAGGGAAGACAAGAGAGAAGACAAAGGACCAGAAGGGCAAGAAAAGGCGCCGTGTCTCCTGCTGGTATTCAGAGAATATCTTTGGAAATGTCAGTGAGTTTGAAGAATACTTTCAGGAGGTTAGGAAACAAGAAGCAAGTTAACAAACAAGTGGTTTTCAGCTCAGCTGGAGTGTCAGCCAGACTGTGCCCCTTTCCACAGCAACAGCATTAAACAAGCACAGTAACAAACAATGAAACTTAGCTGTGGACGGTGATGAAAAGTCTTTGATATGATGTAACCCAGTCCACTAAAAATGTTTGTTGGTTGAGATTTCATTTGTTTTCTCTACAATATTCACTCCTGGCAACTAAAGCGGCGATGGTTACGCTGAGTTACTTCTTGGTTTATTACGTTTTATTATGTAGAATCACGATCCGCCAGTTTAATTTGAAAGTTCAGTCCCACTTCCTGTTTCCCCGCCTGCAGCAGGTCTCTCATCCTGTGGTCGGCCTGTAATGTCACCATCTTGGACTGCAGCTGGTGGGGGTGGTTCTTGTTCTGCTCTTGTACCGAACTCACCGACGCCGCAGAGCGGTTAGCGGGCTAGCTGTTTAAGCGCTAACAACGGGCTGAATGAAACATCTGAATACAGCAGCTTTTCATGACGCGATCTGGACGAAAACGAAGCGCTCTCTCCTGACGTTTACACATCCAAACATCCACCCCGGTCTTCTCCTTATGCCCCCTCTGCGGCCGCGCACGAGGGTGGACGTCGAGCTTGATTATGCGTCCTCTAAAACGTATTTGACAAAGCTGATTACTGGTAGGAGACGGGGCTGCACCCGGAGTTTGAAGGAGGGCGCAGGAAAGGAGGATGACAGGAGTTAACACAGATTTATGTGCTACCATGAAGCGCTGGAGTGAATCCTCAGCCGAGAGAGACGGGAGGAGCGAGCGGCACAGCCCGGTTCTGTCTCGGTGGACAGACACTGTGTGTTTGTCCTGACCTCTCCCCGGCTCTCCTCCCCTCCTCAACGCTCTACACCTGTCTTTCCTTCACCTTTCTCCCCCCCTCATCTGTCTCCCATCTCCCTAAACTGTCCCCCGTTCTCCTCAGCTGTTTTCCTCTCTTCCCTCCTCTTTTACTTTTTTCTCACGTCTCATCGCCTCTCCTCTTTATCTCCCCTCTCCTCCAGTTTCCTCTTTTTCTTTACCTGTTACCCCCCCCTTGTCTTTCCCCCTCCCCCCTTTTATCACTTCCTAATCTCACACAACAACCTGTCAGCTATTTTGAATCACTCATTGTAAACTGTTGTACGTTGTTTTTTCATCCCCTTTCTCCAGACCACACACACACTCACACTCACGCATTCAAACACACACACATTCAAACACACACACACACACACACACACACACTTGAGTCAGAGCTGCGGAGTGACCCATGTGGCCGGCTCATTCTTCATTCGTTTAGGGAAGCCAGTGTTTAGATTGGCTTATGGAGAAGCCACTTTAGGCCACTAATGAATCCACAGCCATCATTAACATGCAAATAGCTCCATTAAGAAAACATAGACTCATGCAGTTTTATATTACAAGCCCCCTTTTCCTTCTCACACACACACACACACACACACACACACACACACACACACACACACACACACACACACACACACACACACACACACACACACACACACTCGCTCACACTTCAGTGAGTCTATTGGCCTGGCTGGTTACCAGAAGCCATACTAAAATCACATTTTATTTATGTATTAAAACCACAATGAGGAAATTAAAACATGAGCTATTTCACATTTCACGACATGTTGGATAATACATAACTAAAATAGGCTTCTTCCAACTATTATAAGCTAATTTATTTCTCTCTCTCCTCTGACATCCTGTCTTTTTTTTTTTCTCCCTCTTTTCAAACAAACTTCTTCCACAACAACGTGAAACTTTTAAAAAGCCTGTATGAATGTTTGGCTCCTCTGGTGCAGCTCTCGACATGTGACACTCCTTCACCGCTCCCTCCATCCCCTGAACCCTCCATCTGTCCTGCCTAATTAAAGCCCGTACACTCAATCCAATCAATCTGTCCGTTCCTTAATTGGAGGAGAGATTTTTCCAATTAAGTTTCCCATCATGCCCACCAATCAGAGCTCGGGGTTCTAAGTGACTCATTTGACTCATCACTTGTCATCGGTGGCCAATCTTGACTGTCAGGAAGTGTGTGTGTGTGTGTGTGTGTGGGGGCTTGTCCTAGAGGGGAGGTGTGTTGTCATGGTAACAAATTCCTCTCTCTCTCTCTCTCTCTCTCTCTCTCTCTCCATTAACAGACAGTAGCCAGCCCTCGCTCGCCCAGCCCTCTCTGACCCTGCAGAGTTTTCCCTACGGAGGCTGTGAGTCTGTGGAGCTCTCCTACCAGAGTGGTATGTGAACAGAGTTTAGGTAGTCAGTCACTTAGTTAAGTGGTTAGATAGTTCATTAGCTATTTAGTTTTGCAGTTAGTCAGTCAGTCAGTTAGTTGTTTGATTAGTTAATGAGGCAGTTAGCCAGTAAGTAAGTCAGTTTGCTAGCTAGCTAGACATAGATAGTCAGTCAGTCAGTTAGTTAGTTATTTAGTTAACACGTTAGACAGTAGTTTGTCCATCATTTAGCTAATTGTGTATTTAGTCAGTTAGCTAGCTAGTCATTCAGTCACTCAGGCACTCATTTTGTTTGTTAGTCAGTTAGCTAGGCAGCTAGGTAAAAAGTCAGCTAGTTAGTCATCCTGCCTGCTGGTCAGTCAGATTGTAAGTTAGCTAACTAGCAATTTAGATAGTCAGGAAGATAGTTAGCCAGTCAGATAGTTCATTAGATATTTAGTTGGTTGGTTATTTGGTTAGCTAATTTAGCAGTTAGCCAGGAAGAAAGTCAGTTAGTTAGTTTGCTAGTTAGTCAGCTAGCTAATCATTCAGTCACTCTCATTGTTTGTTAGTTATCTAGGCAGCTAGGTAAGAAGTCAGTCTATTAGCTATTCAGTTAGCCAGTCCATCAGTTAGTTAGTTAGCCAACCAGTCAGTCAATTTGTAAGTTAGCTAGCTAGTAATTTAGATAGTTAGTCAGGAAGTTAGTCAGTCTGGTAGACTGTTAATTAGTTAGCTTGTTAGTCAGTTAGTTCTAGCTAACCGGGACTCACACTGAAAACATGCTGTAGCTCTACTTACACAGAAGCAGACAGATTGAAGTCATCTTTAAGTGTGTTGACAGGAAGTTAGTTCATTAGTTCATTAGTTCAAAAGGAAAAGAGTTTCTCTGGCACTTTGGCTAGCTGCTTTATCGATTGAGCATAAGTTGGTTATTTAGCGTAACAGTAAGTTCACAACATGAATACAGATTAGAACTGCCATTTGATGTGATGATTTCAAGATCCGTCCATCCGCCCACTCCGTCTCCCACATGCTTTATCAAACCGTGCTGTTTATACATTCATCCCTCCCCCCGTCTCCTGCTTCTGCTCCTGTAGGTCAGTTCCAGGCCGGCCAGTTTCAGCCGGCTATTCGAGTCGCCGACCTCCTCCAACACATCACCCAGATGAAATGTGGACAGGGCTACGGTTTCAAGGAGGAATATGAGGTGACTACGTACACATGCATACACACACACACACACACACACACACACACCAAGAGGCGTATAATGAGAACAACAGTAAAAATAGACATCAATCTTTAAATAGACAACATTACAAGCAGCTATTAGCAAGGAGGTCGAAGGTCTGCAGCTACAGCACCCAGATAATAGGTATAATAAAATCTCCCTGTGACCCCACGATGTAGAAATGTAACTGCTGGTAAAGCAGTGAGTCAGACAGAGAGAGAGAAGACTTTTCTATTATCATAAAAATATGGGTGCGGCAAAAGCCCCGAGCGAGACTGGCACCATGTCCAGGGTGTAGCCTTGCGAGATGGGGTCTGCTTCAGCTGCCTCCATGACCCTGCAGAGAATCCAGCAGGTGTGCGGTGTAGCTGCAGCAGCATCAAGACGTCATTAGAGTAAACAGGGCAAATCTGAAACCGGCGCAGCTGCTAACAGACGGGATACGATCCTGCACTGAGGCGGCGTGTACTGTACGTGTGTGTGTGTGTGTGTGTGTGTGTGTGTGTGTGTGTGCAAATGCATGTATTTGACTGAGAGATTGTGGGGATTGGATTTGTTTTGTTTTTTTGAGGGAGGACGACTCTTATCAATTATTAATGTTATTGATATCAATATTGATGATCAGAGAAACAAACAGGCAGACCTAGAAACAAACTTTCTGCCTCTAACTAATATAATCACCAGTTTTATGTTTTCTCCTACTTTTCTTTCCCCTGATCACTTGCCCTCTCCTTCTTTGCTCTGTTTTAATCTCCCTTTATTCCCTCAGTTTGTCCACTTTGTGTTTCATTCTTTCTCTCTTCTTCTCCTTCTATTACCTCCCTTTCTCTTCTGCTCCTCCTATCCCATCTCTCTCCCTCTTTAAGTCTCCCTCTCTGTGCCTGGGGGGTGAGCGCTTTGTTTAGAGCACAGTTTATCACATGCAGACATTTTTATAATCCTTCTTCTCTCTGCTCATTTTCCTTCGAAATCCCCCACCACCCCCCTCTCTCTTTCTTTCATTCAGAAGACATGAGCCTGAGTCTTTTCCTCTCTGTCTCCCTCCCTCCTCTCATAAGAATGAATATTTTCTATTATCAACTCTGCATGCGTGTGGAAAATTGTCCCTCTGTGATGCCGTACGTTATATTTTCATTTGCTTCCTGTCATTTTGGTTTATACCCACTGATATGTTTCAGCGGAGAGCAAATGTGATTTATTCTCCCGAGTGTGTGTGTGTGTGTGTGTGTGTGTGTGTGTGTGTGTGTGTGTGTGTGTGTGTGTGAGAGAGAGAGAGAGAGAGAGAGAGAGAGAGAGAGAGAGAGAGAGAATGGAGTGTTATGAATTGTGTTGGTAGCTTCCACCTGTGACCAGCAGCAAATGCAGAGACATTCAATGGACAACACAAATACACATTCTACAAACAAGACAGACACACACACACACACACACACACACACACACACACACACACATACACCCTGTCTCTGTCTATTACCTATGTACCTGTATAAGTGAATGCTTGTGTTTTCGTCAGGTGAGAGTACAGTAAAAGGCTTCTGTGTTTGTACAGTTGTGTCCATAAGCATTGTGTGTGTGTGTGTGTGTGTGTGTGTGTGTCTGTGTGTGTGTGTGTGTGTGTGTGTGTGTGTCTGTGTGTGTGTGTGTGTGTGTGTGTGTGTGTCTGTGTGTGTGTGTGTGTGTGTGTGTGTGTGTCTGTGTGTGTGTGTGTGTGTGTGTGTGTGTGTCTGCCACCACACCCCATATGGCGTCTACTGTTCCCGTCTCTGTGTGTGATGTGACCTCCAGTGCTGAAGCCCATTAACCCCACTAACACCGACAGCAGCCTCACTGTCAACATGTCGCTCCCCGCCGGGATCGCACCTTTTACATTTAAAGGGATATTCCGCATCGTTTGAAGCCTTCGCCGGTCGGTCAACTTAACCAGCTGCTATCAAGCAACCACACAGTAAACTCAACCACGACCGGTGCCGGGTGATCGAACGGAAACATTAGCTTTGACTTGATGAACCCGAAGACGATGGTGGAGACTTGTCCTCTATTTTTCACATGAAGAGCTTGTGAAACATGTTGATTATTTCCATTTTTAATGTCTCCTGATACAAATTGGAGTTTTAAAACTTCATACAGTGACATTATGTGAATATTCTCAGATCTAAATGATAAAATAAAAAGCATTTCTTTGTCCCCATCAAAGCATTTTTGAAAGTTTAGACAGTTAAAAACTATTTGTTAGGTACATTTGGGTTGGGATATATCTTTATTTTTATATATATAAATATATATATATATATATATATACACACACACACATTCTGACATGTTTCAGTTCGGTCGTGAGTTTTTTTAAATGGAAATAGTTTATTATTTTTAATCATTATTACGGGAAACTGAAGTGTCCACTGGTACAGAGGCAGCGTGTGTGTGTGTGTGTGTGTGTGTGTGTTTCTTGTCCACTCACCCCACTCTGTGTTTTTATATAGAATATTAATAATCCCCCAAAAATGATGAAATTCAGATGAGAGCAGTCTGATTAACGACTGCCTTGTTTTTTTTTCAGGTTGAAAAAGGGCAGCCAACCCACACTTTATGCAAATGTACACACACACACACACACACACACACACGCACACACACTCACACACACACACTCACACTCACACAGCCCTCCTACAGAATCCTCCTACCTGATATATCCAAAAAAAACATTTTAACATATTTTCACTCTCACACACACACACACACACACACACACACACACACACACACACATTATACCATACAAATACACTGTGACAGAAAAACAGACACCTAAACATATCGCTCAGTCAAGCAGAAAATGGATTCTTTTAAACTGGCATATGGGTCTGTGTGTGTGTGCGTGCGTGTGTGTGTGTGTGTGTGTGTGTCCATGTATTGTGTGTATGTAGGTCATATCAATGTCTGAAAGTGAAAGCTGTTGTCTGGTCTTCTTAAGCCCTTAATGGACTCAGAAAGGACCGTTTACTTGTCCCTATATGGAGAATGACGCTGTGTGGAGGTGTGTGTGTGTGTGTGTGTGTGTGTGTGTGTGTGTCCATGTATTGTGTGTATGTAGGTCATATCAATGTCTGAAAGTGAAAGCTGTTGTCTGGTCTTCTTAAGCCCTTAATGGACTCAGAAAGGACCGTTTACTTGTCCCTATATGGAGAATGACGCTGTGTGGAGGTGTGTGTGTGTGTGTGTGTGTGTGTGTCCATGTATTGTGTGTATGTAGGTCATATCAATGTCTGAAAGTGAAAGCTGTTGTCTGGTCTTCTTAAGCCCTTAATGGACTCAGAAAGGACCGTTTACTTGTCCCTATATGGAGAATGACGCTGTGTGGAGGTGTGTGTGTGTGTGTGTGTGTGTGTGTCCATGTATTGTGTGTATGTAGGTCATATCAATGTCTGAAAGTGAAAGCTGTTGTCTGGTCTTCTTAAGCCCTTAATGGACTCAGAAAGGACCGTTTACTTGTCCCTATATGGAGAATGACGCTGTGTGGAGGTGTGTGTGTGTGTGTGTGTGTGTGTGTCGGTGAACTCCTCCTGTGTGTTATGATGGCTGTTCTAAAATGGTTCAGTGTCCATATGGCGGCCTTTGAGAGTTGGGGTTTGGTTTCTTAGCACAAGCTTGAGAGTGAGCTGAAACACACACACACACACACACAAATCTTTGTATGTACACATTTTACACATTTGGAACTTGCACATGTTTTATGCGGACGCCAAATTATACATCCTCAAACATGTTCACACTTATCTATAGAAAACAGTGAGTACAAGCAGATTTGTGCTGCTCTGTCTGAGTGTGTTTTTCATCCCACGTAGAGTACATACATACAAACACACACACACACACACACACGCACACACAGAGTTTGTCCTTGCTGTGTTTGTAAGGCTTGTCACACGGGCCAGCATCACAGCAGGGAGTCAGGACAATCTGTCTTCTCTCCTCCAACAAAAGGACTGACAGAATATTCTCTCTCAGAACCAAAGCATCAGAACAATGAACTCAAACTTTGTGCCTCTTCTCTGCTCCTGCAGCGTTTACCTGCACTTTTTCATTTCAGCCATCCAGGAATTTATTTTGTTCCAGCCATTGTCAAACTCGCTCCTCGTTGCTGGTTGCTTTTTCTTTTTTTCTTTTTTTTTAATTCAGCGTAGGAATTCAAATGCGTTACCTCTGCCAGTAAAGTTGGAAGGAGGTTATGTTTTCAGTCCTGCCTGTTGGCCCGTTGATTAGCGAGGTATCCCAGGTTTGGCTGAGATCTGATTGCGCGGTTACCTCGCCAAACGACTGACCTGATTGGGATGGATAGATCTGGAATTTCTGCCATTAGAAGATTTTCTAGCCACAACTTCTGTGCTGTGACTGGAAGGGAGAGAAAATTTAAACCAGGACACCGACAATAAGAGAAGCGGAGCTGTAACAGCGTCTGTAGAGGAGTGGATCTTGTTTATGTATGTCTATAAACTGTATATAGATGTAGATTGAGATGTAGAACAACTGGAACAGATGTGGAAGGAAGTGGTCCCAGTGGTAATAGGAGCATTAGAGGCTGTGACCCTGACTGACTGACTGACTGATCATATTTCCACCACTGGTCAGCGGAGTGCGGAGCCACAGTCCTACCGAGACGCTCTGGTTTCCTGAACTGCAGGGAAGAGGAGGAGCACTTCCAATACACTGAGCCTCGCCTCCATGATGGCAAATAAACTACTTTCATTCCATGTGTCATTATTACTAAAGGAGGCAGAGGAAGAACTAATGTAGAGAGGGAGTCAGACATAAAGACGTGCCTCTAATAAAAGTCTGTTACCGTCTGGGGTTGAAGTAAATAAAGGTTAAACTTAACTTTATAAAAAATTGATAATAAAATATAAAATTATATAAAAAAAAGGAAGATATTCTGTCTTTTCTAACTTTCTCATTTCACAGTAAATACAGCTGAAACCACAGCTCGGTCTTTGTCTTTTGTTAACGTCACATCTCAGGCGGTCCAGACCTGTACGAGGTTTGACCTAGTCTTGTTGAAAGTTGAATCACATGTGACCTATCTGTGAGCGTTGCCATCATCCGATGTTGTTTCAGCCTTAATACCCTCGGTACACTAAGCGGTTAAAGGTACGGTCCGTCGTAAACTAACAGTTGATTGGCTTCTCATTAATATTCATGTGCTGTTTCAACTTCTGCCGGCCCATGTGTCCGTGTACAAGCTCTGGGCATCAAGCCATATGTGCATGCATATTCCTGTGTGTTCATACCCCAATATGACAATGTGAAACTGTGTGTGTGTGTGTGTGTGTGTGTGTGTGTGTGTGTGTGTACATGTGCATGTTCAGGCCCTGGCAGAGGGACAGACGGCGCCCTGGGAAACGGCCAAGAAGGACGAGAACCGCAACAAGAATCGCTATGGCAACATCATCGCTTGTGAGTACTGCAGTGACATAGATAACAGTATGCTGCTCCTGCTGAACTGTTGCTGGATATGTGTTCACTATAGTGCCGCCTGGTTCGGCCCGGTTTGGTTCGGTATGGTTGGTATCAAGTCATTTCATGCAGTTCTTGTTTCTCTGGTTCTCGTTTGGTTCAGATTTATTCATCTGGTGCGAGCTTGATGTTTTCTTTAATTGGAAGTTTTAATCAGATACAGGAGCTTTTCTCCGGCCTGACTGAAGCTTGGATCAAGTTTGATTTGTTTAATTTTTCATGGCTGCTTTTCACTGGTCAGCCATCTGGTGGATTAAAGGTCCTTATTTTACACTTTTCCTGTGTTTTATTTTGAAGTGTAGATTCGTAAAAAAGATACTTTGTTGTTTTAAGAACCAAAAATAGTTCTTCTCTCTTTGGGGGGGCGTGTCTGAGAGCGGCGACTGCTTCGTTGTGACATCACAAAGTTCCAGAAGTCCTGACGGCTGGTTTTAAGGCTCAGTTTCTGAATACAGGCTGTGTGCATTTCTCTGTGGACTGAGGCTTTGATACTTTCACAGTATTAATATAGAAGCTAGAGCTGATCTATAATCACACTACACATGGACACAGACCTTTACACTGGAGGAGCTTTAATATCTTTTAAAATAACAGTTTTTTTTTTTTCTTTTTTGGCAAGTAATCAAGTATGAAAGCATTTCAAACAACACCCAGCCCTGAGAGAGAGAGCGCGTCTCTCCATCGGCTTTCTGTGAACTGACTGTCAAGCAGAAAAAATAGAGCAAACGTGCTACAGTACCAGGTATCCTGAGACTTTCCTTTAGCTGGAGGACACAGGTCCAAAGCTCTGCGTTAGCGACCATCTGTCCTGCTGAAGCGTCCTTCAACGAGTCACCGACCGACTCCCTCCAGCTTTGGGTGTGACCCCCCCGCTGAGAGCCAGATGTCAGTAGGACTCGGTGTTGGTAGATGGATCAGTCAGGGTTATAACATGTGACTCACTATCTCCGACAGCGAAACCAATTAAGCAACATAGTGAGTTCGATAGAAAATAGCACCTTTTATTAAGATCCCTCCTTTGTCTGAACGCAACACCAAAGTTCATTCAAACTCCTTTCCTAAACTCGGGAACGTCTGATACAGGAAACTAGCATAAAAAACAGATAAAGTTTGCAGAGGGATTCTGATGATCAAAGCCTGCAGCCTTTATTTTATTCATAAAGACTTTTGTCAAAATGAAGCTTCATTTTGGAGCAAAAACAAGCTGCTGAGTTGCAGAGTGAGGCACATGCTGCATGAAGCGTGAGTGTGTGTTTGGCCATTAGACTGCAAATTAAAATGGGAATATGATGCTGTGTATTATAACAAGTGTTTGCTGTGATTTTGTGTGCACTAATGATGCCTGCCTGATTCTGTGTGCTTGTTAGCTCGTACGAGGAAACCTCCAGCCTCGGTTAGGACGGAACAAGAGGACCAGATTGTTCGGTTGAAGTTTTATTAAATGATTCAGGTGCGCGTGTGTGTGTGTGTGTGTGTGTGTGTGTGTGTGTGTATGACGTAGTTGAGGCGTGTGTGTTTCTGTATCTTGAACAGGATCATAATGTGTTCAGGAAAGTGATTGAAGATGGAGGCGGGAAAATTGGTGCAGAAAGTTCTGAGTTGTGTTTTTGTTCGGGATGAAATTGAACTTTACCCCTTTATGCAAATTTAAAATTGTTCCAATAGAAACTCATAATATAGTAAACCAGCATGTTCTAATGTTACAGCGACTAAAATCCTCATACTGTTGTGATTTTATGCATCAAACAGTAAAACACTGATATATTTTGAGATATATATCGTGTATCACGATATAGCCTAGAAATATCACAATATTATTATCGGTCATATCGCGTATGTAATAATCAATCACATTATTCAATCACTTTATTTGTCTCCAGTGGGGCAATTGTGTATGTAACAGTGGGATATATGAATAAAAACACAACAGATGATAAACCCCTTACCCTAAAGGAATGCATTATGTCAATGACAGGTCTCCACAAATATAGTAAAACGAGGATTTGTGTGTGTGTGTTTGTGCACATTCACCCCCATTCACGTACATGACCAATATGATCCAGAAGATTGTGCTTGTGGGTTTCTACTTGGCAATTCGTGTGTGTGTGTGTGTGTAAGCACGCACAGATCTGTGCACGTGCTCAGTCTCATTACAAGGGTTTAGATGTCAAGTCAGGAAACAGTGCGCTAACCTGAAGGGTTTAAAATGAAACACTGTGCTGAAATGAAACAGCCTGACAAGGACGTGATAGCCAGCAGGAATTATGATAAATTTGCTATTAGTACAAATCCTTTAATTACAAGGGCCTGGTAATGGAAACTGTCCATCTCGCTCGCTGTGATTGTACAAAGGCTCATTTTCTTGAGAAAATGTTTTAAAAGGCCCCCAGGGAAATGACTTTGTGTGCTGTCTTTATTAGAACAAGGAAATATGGTAAGACGGGCGGACGGAGCGGCTGCAGCTGAAACTCTGAGTGCGGGTTAAAGGTTATTTCTTCTTTTCTTTTTTTTTTTCCTTCTTCAGTCAGGTTGAACTTTAATTCGCCTTTTGAAAACAAGGGATTTACTTTCTGTTTCGGAGCTGGAGAGCTCGGAACAAATTCCCTCCCGGTCGGATTCGTTCTCGCTCGCACACACTGTACAGTTCTGCATGTGGGACTGTGTTCCCCTGCAAGCAGCCCTGTTCTTCACCTTCTCTATCTCGTCATTAACGATGGTGTAAAACTTTTTCTTTATGGAACTATATCTCCAAAGTGTTTTCATGACACATGACTCTGCAGCTTTATGGCTTATTTACCACCTCAGACTGACTGGGTAACCGACTGCAGTGAAGAGTCAGAGAGAGAGAGAGGTGCTTGATGTTTCCTGAGCAGCCGACAGTTTGAAAACTGCTTTTCCAGTTTGAAAACTACAAGACAAAGAGGAAGTGGCGGCAGCAAGGCTTCATGTGTAACGGCGGGAACGCGCTGCCTGCGTTGTGCGGCGTGTGCGTCGCTGACCTGCTGCCGTGGTTCCTAACCTTTTATCACTTGTCCACTTGAAAATCTCAAAAGTTGTTGGCGGCCCACATCTGACCCCGTAACAATAGAGAGGCTGAATAATGTCTTCTCCGAGCACTTTTTATTTTCATGATAACGATGGAACGTTCAGGACTGAACTGAGAGCAGGGGAAGCTAATTTTCTCTTTTTTGTTTGACGGGGGGAGATCAGTTGTCGATTCATCATCGGTCTCCTGACTCTTTCCTTTTGCCTCTTCCTGTTGCTCACCTGCTTTCCAGTTTGACTCTTCAGTTTTTGCCTTGGATTTGATCTTTTATCTTCTATCAAACAAGCGTACGATGTTGTCCGACCAGCGACAGCGTAGAAGTTCCTGTCATCGGCCTTAATATGAGAATTTTTTTTTATTTACTTTTAAATGTTTTTAAAGATCGATTTGTTTTAAAACATTTAAAAATATTATTCATATTTTTATTTCTTTATGTAATCACATCTTTTCACCAAAATTGTTCTGTTTTGCAAATGATTTGTTTTGCTACTTGAATGTTGGATTTCTCTTCATTAATCATTCATTTCTGATTTATTTTTGACAGAAAACGTCACTAAAATCTCTCTGTCTCAACAAAATATAATATTTATATTTTTTCATGTCTTGTGTCACATTTAGATTCAGTTTCGACACAGACAACTACAGTGGAAACTGTCAGTTTTATGTCATGTCGCTGGTATAATGTCAACACCGCTATCATAAGGTCTTTTCTTTGTCTATTTTTTTACCGGGAGAAAAACAAAAATAGGCGAGACGCCAAATCTCTACATCCCGCGAAGCAGCCAGCGTGTTCCTGGTGAGTCTCACTGAGGAAAAAGTTCAAATGAAATCTGTGTTTACTGGTTAAAGTCTGATCCAGCCGCCTGCAAAGTGACGGCACCTCTAACCGGAGCAAATGCCTCAATGAGCCTCAGCAGATCACAGTGGGGGGAGCTAAATTTGTGGCCTGGCTTTGCGAGACTTAAACCGACACCCGAGTTCGAGACGTAAAAATCCCCTCAGAGGCAGCTGTGATAATCTCTCCATCCTTGTGAGGACTTTTGACTTTCTGCTGTTTCTCCGTCACGCTCCTCTTTTGTTGTTTTTATTCTTCCCTCCTCTTTCTCACTTCTTCACACACTGACACATAGTTTTCACCACCTCTCTGTGTCTCTGACTCAGTTTGAAAAGGGCTGATTCGAGTCGAAGTGTTAACACGCTCTTCCTGCGGACATCTGCCAAACACAAACGCTCGATGCCATGTTTGAAATCCCTTCAGCACACTGAATAAATGTTAATCTACCAGCCTCCTGTCCTCCTGTCTCCTCAGCGCTTCTCCTCCTCTCCTCCCAACCTCCACTTCCAACTTTATTCTCTCCCTCTTATCTTGTTTTTCCTGCATTTCTGCATTTATTTATTTTCATTTCTCCCTTTTCTCCCTCATCGTCTCACCTTCCTGTTTTTCTTTTTCTAACCTCTTCTCCTCTCTCATCTCTCCTTTCCGTGAAATCTTCTCCTTCACTTTAAATCCCTTTTACTCCCATGCTGCTCCCTCTTACTCTCCTCTTGTTAGCTTTTCCTCACCTCCCCTTTCTTCCTCTCCTTTCCTTTGCTCTCTATCCATCCATTCATCCTGTCTGATTACCTCTGACAGTTTATGGGTTGAGGCAAAGCGCAGTAGTGTTTCCTCATTACCGGCATCTGTCTGCTTCTATTTTCTCCTCCCTCTCCTCCTTCACTTCTTTCTCTCCTTTCGTTTTTTTTTTCTTCTCCTTCTCAGCCCCCTCTTTCTCTTTCTCTCTCTCTCTCTCTCTCTCGGTTCATACAACAACTTTCCCATATGGTCATTTATAATTCAACAGAAGCGTGCCTTCATGCCTTCAAAATAAACAGATTTATTGGCAAGAATTTACAT